CCTCTGAGCCCCCCTCTCCTTGGCTTTTGCTTTTCACTATGGGTGTGTGTGAGAGGGGAAGTTCACCAGAAACAAGGCAGCTAGCCCATCTTTGACAGGTCTAGGGTTGGCTGATGACCCTGGTACTGATTTCTCCACACTGTCTCTCTGTGCACTGTGCAGTCAGCGCTCCCACTCTGCTGGAAAGTTTCTTCTGCCCTGTAGCAATGATCCTTCCCCGTTCCCACTGCCCCTCAGGGGCTGAACACCAGTTCTCTGGGAAAGAGGAACTGGAGGCCTCTGTGTTTCATTACAGGTAGAAGATGGGAGATGGATGGGGACTACAGCAGTTAATAGTAGACATGGACTGAGACCAGCTCTCCTGACCCCTAGTCTGGTGTCTATAACATGGCTGTGTCCATGGGTTTCCAGACCATTTGTCCCAAAGGGACTTCAGGGCCCTGATGTTGGCCCTTCATTTCTGATTCTTGCCTGTGTCCCCCTGAGTAACCTTTGGGTACCCAGGGAAGCTCCAACCTGTGTGTGTGTGTGTATGCACACATGTGTTTTAAGCATAGAGTCTCACTTCATAGCCCATGCTTTCCTCAAACCCATGGCAACTGACTTACCTCATCCTCCTGGTTACTACTGAGATTTCAGGTGTGTACCACTAAGGCAGGCTGAGCTCTGATTACTGCATCTTTCCCTTCCTCTCTCAGGCCTGGCCCCTGGCTCTGATTGCTGACGATGTCTAGCTCTACCATCCCGACTCCCTGAGGCTGGTTTCTAGGGACTGCCCATACTCAGTAGGGTATCTGTAGCTAGGTTTAAGTGCTTGTATCAGACTGACAGCCAGAAATGGAAAATGGGATTCTTGGGTTGACTTCTGATGTCTGCCACGGTGAGATTTGTCTTTGGGCACACCTGGTACAGGGTTTGAAAGAGGAGGGCTATGCCACCACCCAGGATAAGGCCCTGGGATCCTCTGGGCCATGGACTGCTGCCCTTGTGAAGCTCTCCTAGAGTCAGTTTGGCAGAGGAACCTGGAAGTGTGTGCAAATTCACCAGCATGTCAGAATCTGTGGTAGATCAATAATGCAGATCTTCAGGGTTTGCTAATATAAATTCAAAATAGTATCTGGTCAGAGGTGGTATGGGAAGGGGCAGGAGAATGCTGGGCTGGAGTAGGACCTGGGAATGGGTAGCAAGTGCTACGACCTCCCTCAGATCTGCTTGTGGAAAGATAGGAAAATGGCAAGAGCTCGCAGGGTTATCACGAAGACACTACCTAGAAGTCTAGCATAATGATGGCCATGTAGTATTTGCTCACACAACATTCACACCTTCTTTCCCTTCTGCTAGGTGCTGAGAGGCCAGGTAAGCCAGGGGAAGTTCCTGATCTAAATCTAGTCTAGCTTCGGGCAGAGACTTGTGCAACCATGGAGAGGAGACAATGGTCTATCAGTGTGATGATGGCAGAAATAGTACAAACAGTGAGCTAGCAAGGGCTGATGTTTCCTATACCCTGCATGGTGCCAAACACTCTCTGGTGTCGGGGGAGTGTTGGCCTGCTTATAACCACTCTGAGTTTACAAACTGAAGTTCTCAGAAAAGCTACACTTATGTTAAAGATGCCAGAGGCTGATTGACTGACTAGAACGTCATGATTGGGGAGTTGGAATGTTGCAGACCTAGAACCAAATTACCTTGGGCTGACTTAGTGCCTTTAGGAACCACTCACTGCCCACCTCTGTGTCTGACCTAACAAGCTTGTGGCTCTCAGGTAATATCTTTTGGAATGTATTAACTAGTAGACAACTATCTTCCACAGATGTCAGCAGCCAGCATCTGAGACATAATAACAGAGATTTTCCTGCTTTGCTTTAACCTGCTCACCTGATATTCCTGCCAGTGAATTTGAAAAATGCCTAATATACAGTTTGCTTTTGTTCTATAACTATTAAAACTTCCTGAAACCATTTCCACATTGGAACATGTTATCCGGGGCAATGTGAATCTGTGTACCTGGGTCGTGGTCATTCATATTTGACTCAAGTAATCCATCTGTTGTTCCCTTTGAGGCAAGGGCTGGTTTTTGTGTCTACAGAGGGCAGAATGAGGTAACAGAAAAGCAGAGATGACATCAGAAGGGGTCAGGACAGGCCTCAGGGAGGAGTGATGGTGCCCACTGCTCTCAAAAATGAGCGGAACTCCTCAGCGGAGGTCATGGAGTAGACACTCCAGGCAGAGGGAATGGCAAGCATCAAGGTATACATAGGAGGGTGGGGTACATGAGTACTCGGGAAGGCCAGTGCCTCTCAGCCCTGATCAGCATCATTTAGAGCCTGCTATCCTCCTGACACCAATCCTACAAGGCTCTACTTCTCAAGGTCAGCAGTCCTAAGACACCATTGTATCCTGTAACAAATAGGTTTGCAGGAATATAAGTAGCTAAAACTTGCTCAACAATCATCACAGCCAGCCTGGGCTGCTGGTCAAGTCTGTGGAACCAGCTACTAGGGAGCTGATGTGGGGAGGACTGCTTGAGGCAGAAGTTCCAGGTCTGAGGTAATACTGAGAGATCTTCAAAAAAAAGCAAACAAATCAAACTCAATCTGCAGTAATTTTGCCTCTATACATAGAATATGGAACACTTAATATTTTGGTTGCTGTTCAAGGCAAGGTCTTCTCTATGTAGCCCAGGCTGGACCTGGAACTCAAAATCCTCCTGCTTCAGCCTCCTCAGTGCTGAGATTATAGGCACGCTCCACCACACCTGGTTTTTACAGCCTCTTCAGTCTTTATTCAAGTTTCAGTAGCTCTGGGCAGATCATTTCAGCTTTGCGGTCAGTCCACTGGGGTCTTGGGTAAGTCTCAATCTTCCAATTTCCCTCTCTAAGACTCTGTCCTCTCCTCAGGAAAAGGGGATGAAATTAAGCAGAGTGGGTTTTTGTTTGCTTGCTTGTTTTGAGACAGGGTCTCATTCTGCTGCCCATGGTGCCCTGGAGCTCATTCTGTTGCCCAGGTTAGCCTTGAACTTGTGCGATTCTCCTGCCTCGGCCTCCCAAAGTGCTAGGATTACAGATGTGAGCCACTGCTTCAGATGGGTTTTTAAAAAAATTTTATGTGTATGAGTGTATTGCCTCCATGTGTGTGAGTGCAATGTCCGTGGAGGTCAGAAGAGGGCACCGGATCCCCTGGAACTGGAGTTATGAATGGTTGTTAGCCACCATGTGGGTGCTGAGATTTGAACCAGGTCTCCTGTAAGAATAGCCAGAGCTCTTAACTGCTGAGCCAACTCTCCAGTACCAGGTTTTTTAAAAAAAATATTTTATTATTTTCTTTTTAAAAATATTGTATTTATTATTTTTATTTTATGTGTATGAGTGTATTGCCTGCATGTATGTGAGTACACTTGTGTCATGCAATGCTGCAGAGGTCAGAAGAGGGCTTTGGATTACCCTGGAACTGGAGTTAAGGACGGTTTGTAGCCACCATGTGGGTCCTGGGAATCGAACCTGGGTACTCGAGCAGTCAGTGCTCTTAACCGCTGAGCCATCTCTCCAGCCCCAGTACCAGATTTTTAATTGCTTACAAGAGCATCACCTGGAACCCCAGACCTACCAGTCTGAAACTTAGAGGGGTCCTGCCTATTGTGAACTCTGGGGTGAGCTGTACCCCAAGGCAGGGAGAGTCCAGCAGTGAGATTCAGTCAGTGCTCTTAAGGCATGTGACATAGCAGTTTTCTCTCTGGCCACAAGTTATTTCTTACCCAAGAAAGGCAACCTTTCAGAGTTTCAGAGAAGCTGAGTTTCCTCACCAGCTGACACCCTGTGCACAGAGCTGCCTTCTCTTTCCAGCTCCCAAATAATGACTCACTGTGAAGCATCTGAGCTTCAGGCAGGGAACTCATTTCCTCCCCCTGGTCCTGGACACCAACTCTGCACTGGAGAGGACTGATGACAACCTCAAGAGTCACCAACAGCCGCAGTGGCGGTTACGACGCAGAGCTGGGCCAACCTACCTTAGGAAGCCTTGGCTTCCAAGACAGGAAAGATGGAAAGAATGTCTAACTAAACCAGCTTTCCCAGTCTGGACCCAAGGGGAGACGTCATCAACCAGAGCATTTTACAGGCAAGAAGGGGTCACACCCAGCCCATCCATCCCTGGGGAGGCGTCTGGGTCTGCGGGTGCCGGCAGCTGGACGCTTTCTAATGGCTGCAGCCCCACTTGGTATCGCAGCGACAAGGACAAGTGTTAGCTTTATACAGCACTGCCACGTGCCAGGCAACGTGCTGTGTGTCTCGCGCTTATTAATGCATCTAAGGTGCAAACAAGCCCGGGGAGGAAGGGGCCACTAGCTCTTAATTATGGGTGAGAAACGCCACGGAGGCGACGTCACACAACCTCCAATCTCCTGCGCAGCCGGGCCGGACAACCTGGGCTGCAGAGCGGCCGCGCGTCCCGACAGGTGCACGGTTGCCGGCCGGCGACGCGGGCGGGTGGCCCCGAGGTGGTCGGCTACGGAGCCCGTGGCGGCTGCGTTCCCCGCGCGTGAGCTCCTCCGTGACTCGCCGCAGACCGGGTCTCCGCGGTCTGGGGAGAAGGCACTGCGGCCCTTTCTGGGTCTCCGCTAGGAAGCCGGCGCCTCAGGGAAAGCGCGCAACACGTCGGCGCGGCCCAACGCCCGCTCGCTGCGCAGTCCCTTTAACCCAAAACTTTCTCCCTCCACTTGGGACCCCGGCACGCGCACATTGGCTGAGCCGCGTCAGACTGGACCCGCCCCCCCTTGCCTATTGGCCACCTGTAGCATCCATCCCCAGCCGAAGCTTTCTAATGGTCCGTGCCCCTGTCAATCAGGGGTGGGTGGGGCCACGGGCGGGGCCAGGCAGGGGGTTGCAGCGCCAGCCCAGCCGCCTGCCTGCCTCCTCGGAGCCCTGACTGGGGACCTGGACAAGCCCCCAGGGACGAGGCCCGAGCGGCGCACAGGGGCGGGGCTGCGCGCGGCTCCCGGGACTCACCAATGCGCTGTCCCACCGGAGAGCTGAACGGGTTCCCCAGGAGAAAATCCATCGCCGCGGCTGACGCTTCCACCAGCCCCAAGAATCAGCTGACAGCAACCGCCGGCGCCGCCGACCCGTCACGTGATCCGGTGGCCGGCCCGAGGGGAGGTGCGGGTGGGGCGAGGCCGGGGATCTGGAGCACAGCCACCAGGCCCTGCCCCCGGCGGTGGTGGGGGCACCGGAGAGGGAGGGAGGGAGGAGGGAGCGCGCTGGCCCAGCAGCGTTCGCTGACGTCACGCCCGGCCGGGCACCGGGGCGGGGCCTGAGAGCGCGGGCCGCTAAGCCACGCCCCCGGAGGGCTCAGTGCGCAACGGGGCGGGGCCTAGAAGTCTTCACATCTGGAAACTGGGTCTCAAGCCAAGGAAATGACTTGGGTAAGATTACGCAAGCTCGGGCTGGTATCAGTGTGTGGAGTTCGGGGGACCTCGCTGTGACCACGCCTACCCTGAGGATGATTGACAGCTTCCTTACACCTGTCGAGTCTCCCCTGCTCCGAGATGCCACCTGTTTGCAGTCCAAAAGGAGGCAAGGACCTGGGTTTGTGTTCCTACAGCACACAACCAGCTTAACGACCTGTGGCTCAGCACAGCCTACGCCCCGCCAGGAATTTACTGTGTGATCCAAACTGCAAGTTCTGGTTCTCTCTGGATACTGGAGTTAGGTCAGGGCTCTTAAAACAATTTTGAATTGTAAGCTTACAAAATCTTTTGATAAGTTGAAGAAAGTCAGAAGGAAAAGAAAAAAATCAATACAATTTTGCTTATAACCTCAGGAAGTTCTTTGGGGTTCTGAACTAAAATAGTGGACCCAAGTTAAGAATGACAGAGGTTGGGGCTCAGCGGTTAAGAGCACTGGCTGCTCTTGCAGTGGGCCTGGGTTTCATTCCCAGCACCCACATGGCAGCTAACAACCATTTGTAACTCCAGTTCCAGGGGGATCTGAGGCCCTCTTCTGACCTCCGTGGGCATTGCCCAGCACGGATGTATGTACATACATGCAGGTAATATACTCATAGACTTAATAAAATTTAAAGAATGGCAGAGGTGGGGCTGGAGAGCCGGCTTAGTGGTTAAAAACACTGGCTGTTTCTTCTGTCCTCCACTGGCATTGCACGACATGGGTGCACTTACCTACATGCAGGCAATACATGCATACACATAAAATAAAAATAATAAAAAAAACACTGGCTGGTCTTGCAGAAGACCCAGGTTCGAATCCCAGCACCCACATGGCAGCTAACAACTGTCCATAACTCCAGTTCCAGGGGATCCAGCAGCCTCTTCTGTCCTCCGAGGGCACTGCATGACATGGTTGCACTTACATACATGCAAGCAATACACACATACACATAAAAAATATTAAAAAAAAGAATGGCAGAGATCTTTTCCAGCCTTCCTTGCACACAGTGTGGGGACACTAGATATTTGATCAGTTGGTTGTGGCTTTTTCTTCTGACAGACAATTCAAAAAATATGACCACTGCCTCTACTGCAGGGTGCTTTATTTACGAATGTGATTTTTTTTTTTTTTTTGTCTTTTTGAGACAGGGACTCCCTGTAGCTCCAGTTGGCCTGATACTCCCTATGTAGACCAGGCTGGCCTCAAACTCGCAGAGATCTGCCTGCCCCTGCTTTTCAAGTGCTGGGATTAAAGGTGTGCGCCACCAAGCCTGGCATCAAGAATTTGATTAAAAAAAATATTTTTATGGGGCTGGAGAGATGGTTCAGCGGTTAAGAACACTTGTTCTTGCAGAAGACCCGGGTGCAAGTCCCAGCACCCACATAGCAGCTAACAACTGTCTGTAACTCCAGTTCCAGGGAATCTGGCCTCTTCTGTCCTCCATGGGCATTGCATGACACTGGTGCATTTACCTACATGCAGGCAATACATGGATACACATAAAATAAAAACAATACCAGCATTTGGGAGGCAGAGGCAGGCGGATCTCTGTGAGTTCAAGGCCACCTTGGTCTACATAGTAAGTTCCAGGACAGCTGGGGCTAAAGGGAACCCCTGTCACAAAAAAACCAAAAAAAAAAAAAAAACAAAACCCAAAACAAAAAAAAACCTAATAGATTAAAAAAATTAAAAAAAATTTTATATGTATGAATGTATTACCTGCATGTGTGTAAATGCACCTGTGTTGTGCAATGCCCACAGTGGTCAGAAGAGAGTGTGAGATCCCCTGGAACTGGTTGTTAGCTGCCATGTGGTTGCTTGGAATCGAACCCAGGTCCTTTGTAACAGGAGTCAGTGTTCTTAACCACTGAACCATCTCTCCGGCCCCACGAATGTGATTTTATTTTATTTTATATTTATTTGTCTTTTTGAGACAGGGTCTCCCTGTAGCCCCAGCTGTCCTGGAACTCACTATGTAGACCAGGCTGGCCTCGAACTCACAAAGATCCATTTGCCTCTGCCTCCCAAGTGCTGGGATTAAAGGTGTGCGTCACCATGCACACAGGAATGTGATTTTTAAATCTGAACGGTCACATTGACTGTGTGTCAAGTTTGGATGGGAAATCTAAATCAGAAGTAAATCATTTCTGTGATTAGTCTTGTGCTCACTTGTTTTAGTAGCCATGAGGTCTTACATCTTTACAGTATCAAAATTGCACTTTGAAGTGTTTCCTCAATGCTCTTGAGTCTTGTTAACATTCCTTCCCTGACTACATGTTCTGTGACAACTGAGATGCTATACTTATTTTAACCATCACTGTTGTCTAACACAATAAGTGTATGAAAACTTAAGTCAGTCTTTCAGTAATGGATTTAGATTTCAGTGTGTGTGCACGCACACACATGTCATTTAAGATGGACTTTCAGCTCAGGTAATTTTCATGTCTTTTCATTTAAACATATTGCTTGATTGTATGGAGTATATTTAGCATGAACTTTAGAATTCTTCCATTAACAGCCTGTAATATGTCCATGTTGAGTATTGATTTGCTAGAAGTTCTTGTAAGTTTTATTCTTCCTGGTAGGATTATCAGAACAATCTAAATATTCCCAAATGGTAATTAGAATCATACTAACTCAGTGAAAACAGAAATGGAAATTTGTCAGGGCCTGGAGAGATGGTTCAGCGTTTAAGAGCACTAGCTGCTCTTGCAGAGGACCTGGGTTCAATTCCCAGCAGCCGCATGGTGGCTAACAACCATCTGTAGTTCCAGTTCCAAGGAACCTGATGCCCTCTTCTGGGCTCTGTGGACATTGTATGCATGAGTGCACTATATGCAGGCATACATATTAAAAAAAAAAAAAGAAATAAAAATGTTTCAATTTAGCTTTGCAAATGTTTTAGCAATATTAAGCTGGGCGTGGTGGCACATGCCTTTAATCCCAGCACTTGGGAGGCAGAAGCAGGCGAATCTCTGTGAGTTCAAGGCCAGCCTGGTCTACATAGTGAGTTCTAGGACAGCTGGGGCTACAGCGAGACCCTGTCTCAAAAAGAAGAAGAGGAGGAGGAAGAGGAGGAGGAACAACAAAAAAACCCCAAGTGTTTTAGCAATATTAATATCATGCCTTTTAATGGTAAGACTATTTAATTCCCTTTAAGACTGATATATACTACGGGCCTGGAGAGACGGCTCAGCATTTAAGAGTACCTGCTGCCCTTAGTGAGGACCTGGGTTTGGTATCCAGCACTGACATTATCTGTAACTCCAGTTCCAGTGGATCATCTTCTCGCCTCTGTGGGCACCTGCACACACATGGTGCACATACAGACAAGCAAGTGTAACACACATAAAAATTGTAAAAAGGGGGCCTGGAGAGAGGGGTCAGTGGTTAAGAACACTGGCTGTTTTTGCAGAAGACCCGGGTTCGAATCCCAGAATCCACATGGCAGCTAACAACTGTCTGTAACTCCAGTTTCAGGGGATCCGACAGCCTCTTCTGTCCTCCTTAGGCATTGCACAACACGGGTGCATGTACCTACATGCAGGCAATACACACATACACATAAAAATAATAAAATATTTTTAAAAATTGTAAAAAGAATAAAGAGTGATGCAGTCCATAAAAGTAACCTAGTATATCCTTGTAAGCACTTTTAGATAAAAATTAAGATATGCTGCCTCCAAAATTTAAAGACAATGGTTAAGCAAAGTGAGCTGGACATTTGGACAAGGAAAAGTTCTCCACTAACTTTCCCACAACCATATTTGTTTGAGATTGTAGAAAATGGAGAGGCAGGTGGATCTCTGTGAGTTCAAGGCCAGCCTGGTCTATGTAGTGAGTTCCAGACTAGCTGGAGGTACAAGGAGACCATGTCTCAAAAAGACCAAAAGGAAAGGGATTAGGTAATACCATTTAAACTTGAAAGTAGATTGGAGAAGAGCCAAAGATTTGGGGTCAGCTGTACCAGTTTTTGTGTGTGTCTGTGAGTACACACTGTGTTTGTGTGTGTGTGTCCCTCCCTAGGGATATCAGAAGAGGGCATCAGATCCTCTTGGAGCTGGTGCTACAGGGCTTATAAGCCCCCTGGCATGGGTGCTGGGAACTGAACTCAGATCCTCTGGAAGAGCAAGTGCTCTTAACCACTAGGCCATCTCTCCAGCCCCAAGATTTTCATTATTATTATTATTTTATTACTTTTTGGTCTTTTTGAGACAGGTTCTCCCTGTAGCCCCAGCTGTCCTGGAACTCACTATGTAGACCAGGCTGGGCTTGAACTCACAGAGATCCGCGTGCCTCTGCCTCCCGAGTGCTGGGTTTAAAGGCGTGTGCCACCATGCCCAGTACATTATTATTTTTAAAAAATATTTTTTTATTTTTTGTGTATGAGTGTATTGCCTGCATGTAGGTAAGTGCACCCATGTTGTGCAGTGCCCGTGGAGGACAGAAGAGGCTGTCAGATCCCCTGCTGCCATGTGGGTGCTTGGATTTGAACCTGGGTCTTCTGCAAGAACAACCAGTGTTCTTAACTGCTGAGCCATCTCTCCAGCCTCATTTTTATTTTTTAAAGATTTGCTTTTTAGGCTGGGCATGGTGGCATACACTTTTAATCCCAGCATGTGGATGTCTGTGAGTTTAGGGGCAGGCTGGTCTATATAGAGAGTTCCAGGCCAGCCAGGGCTGTATAGTGAGATCGTCTCAAAAAATCGCTGGACATGGTGGTGCACACCTTTAATCCCAGCCCTGGGAAGCACAGGCAGCTGGATCTTTGTGGGACTGAGGCCAGCCTGGCCCACATAGTGCATTTCAGGCCAGGTAAGGCTACAAGATCCTGTCTTAAGAAAACCAACAAAACAATTTTTGTGTGTATCAGTTTTTCCTCCACATATGCATCGAGTGTCCACAGTGGCCAGAAGGGGAAGTTGTTCCCCTAGAACTGGAGCAACAGACCAGCTGAGCTGTTATGTGGGTGCTGGGAACTGAAACTAGGTCCTCTGCAAGAGCAGCACGCACTCTTAACTGCTGAGCCATATCTCCAGCCCCTAAAGTTTTTAATAAAAATATTGCATTTTTATTTGTGTGTGTATGGGCCTGTACAAGTGCCACAGTGGGCATGACTGGAGGTCAGAGGACAATTTTTGGGAGTCAGTTCTCTCCTACCACATGGAATCTCAGGGATTGAACTCAGATCCTCAGGCCTGGTAGCCCAGTATGGCAATGTTCTTATAGAGCAAACCTGGGGAAAGGACTTTTCTGCATCTGTTACCTCAGCTGTAAAGGGAGAGATTCCTGATGCTTTGGAGAGGGTTGAGATGACATGAATCACTCTCAATAATGGGCATTCAGTGATGGTGGTTTTCCTCTTGCTTTATCTTCGTAAGACATTAAAATTTTTCTTGATTTTTTAAAATTTTATGAGTGTTATGCCTGCATGTAAGTGCACCCATGTTGTGCAGTGCCTGCAGGACGGAAGAGGGCATTGGATCCCCTGGAACTAGAGTTACAGATGGTTGCTAGCCACCATATGGGTGCTGGGATTCGAACCCTGGTCTTCTGCAAGAACAGCCAGTGCTTGTAACTGCTGAGCCATCTCTCCAACTCGTTAAAATTTCTTTAGCCAGGTGTAGTGGCATACACTTTTAATCCCAGCAGTCAGAGGAGAGGCAGAGGCAGGCAGATCTCTGTGTGATTGAGGCTAGCCTGGTCTACATAGTTCCAGGTCAGCTGGGGTTACTTTGTCTCAAAAAGTAAAAACTAAACCAATTTTTAAAAATTAGTTCATTTATGGGGCTAGAGATGGCTCAGTGGTTAAGAGCACTGGCTGCTCTTCCAGAGGTTTGGTTTCCAGCACCCACATGGCGGCTAACAAGTCTCCAGGTCCAGATTTGATGCCCTCTTCTGGCTTCTGTGGGCATTGTGTGACACGGGTGCACAACATACATGCAGGCAAAAATTCATACACAGAAATTAAAAAATTCATGTAATTATTGTGTGCTTATGTGTGCCATGGTGCACATGTAGAGGTCAGAGGAGAGCTTGTGGGAGTTGGTTCTCTCCTTCCATCGTATGGCCCTGAGGAGCAAACTTAGGTCACCAGGCTTGGGGGTAAGTGCCTTTACCTGCTAAGCCATCTAACTTGTCCTCACTCCACCCGATTTTTTGCAGTGGTGGAGCTTACACCTAGGACCTTGTACAAACTAGGTCAGTGCTCTATAAGCAGCCCTTGTTTTTCAGAGAAAGAATGGCCTCAAATGCAAATCTCCTGAGTGCTGGAATTACAAGTGTGTGCACTCCCATGCCTTTTAACTGTCATATTATTTCACTACTTTTTCTTTTTTTCAGTCTTTTTGAGAGAGGGTCTCCTGTAGCTCTAGCTGTCCTGGCACTTTCTATGTAGACCAGGCTGGCCTTGATCTCTGCCTCCTGAGTGCTAGACTAAAGGCATGCACCACGACTGGCCACTACTTACAACTTTTTTTTTTTTAATTTACAACTTTTAACATCTTGTGTTTCTATTGACTTGTCTATGGAAAGGCCAAATGTCCATATATTCAGTATTTATAGTATTCCTGCACATTCATGTTAAGCAGGCAGACTGGCTGTAGGTTTGGATACAGGGAGGTGACACTGCTACAGATGAGACTTCACAAACTCTAAGGTCATGTGACTTATCCAGCATCACTAAAGCTGTAACCATACTCTGATAGCATGATGCAGATGCAAACCTTACCAAAGACTTACAGATACTTGATTCAGGCTAACACCATAATGTACATAATTTCATATGCCAATCACTAGAGCCACAAGTTTCTAGATTTACAATATGCAAATGATTTGAAAGCTTCTACATACAGGTGTTTCCAACCTGAGACCCAGACTGCATGGTCCTAGGATAGTGATGGATATGGAAACCTGACCTCTATTTCAGACTTAAAAAAAAAAAATATTTATTATATTTATGTGTATGTGTGTATTGCCTGTATGTAAGTGCACCATGTCATGCAATGCCCACAGAGGACAGAAGAGGCTGTCGGATCCCCTGCAACTGGAGTTACAGACAGTTGTTAGCTGCCATGTGGGTGGTGGGATTCGAACGTGGGTCTTCTGCAAGAACAGCCAGTGTTCTTAACCGCTGAGTCATCTCTCCAGCGCCCCAGACTTTAGGGTAAAATAGACTGAAAGACAGGCTTTATAGTTTTCATAGTAAGTATGATTAGCGTGATTAGGGAAAAGACAGCTGAGACTGGACTACAAATATTAAAAATGTGGTCTTTAATAATATAGGTACAAAACTTTGTTTCTTTATACAACTGTAATGGGATTTGGATCAAACCACTAGAATTTATTTAAAAAACAAAACAAAGATATAAAAAGAGCAAGAAGGCCTGAATCCAAATTTTTCCTCTAATAGTACCAAATACCACAAGGTACAGATTATTATACAAATGTGTACAAATCTTTAATACAAATACAACAGGGCTAGGTTTCAAAGGAAACAAACACAGAACGGCAGGTCCTCATCAGAGCTCATTAACGTGTTCAGTGACAGTGGGAGGACCAGTGCTCCCTGTACTACTGTCTTCCTGGCCTCTCCTGACACCCTGTTTCTCACAGGAAACCTCCACATAACTCTAGCTAAAATTTCTGCTCTTCTTGATTGAGTTCACACATTCCTGCTTCCTTCTCCATTTCCCAGATTAAATCCCAAAACTGCTCTGAGCTGAGAAAGGGATTTAACAGGCTGAATCCCTTAAGAAGCATAGTTCTGTGATGGGGCAGTAGGCGATGGGAAGGAATCAGACAGGGCGCAAGCCGGCTGCAGGGTCCCCAGAGGTTTACTGTGATGCTGTCCTGCTCCATCTATGCCAGGGAAGAAAGCAGCACTACCCCAGCTGGGTTGTGGCAGGGAATCTCACACCAAATTTCAAAACGACCTGGAGTGCTGTCTTCTTTCCAGTGGGAAGCAGGTCTGGGAATACGGGCAGCTGGGGATGGTGACATTCTCTTCTATTTCACTTAACATTATTGAGGGCCATTGAAGTCCTTTACACAGAATTAGAATTTCAATGTAATGATTCCCTTTTGAATTACAACATTAAAATGTAGATGATTTGGAGTTTTCAGAACAGACTAGAAGGAAGAAATGACAAATCTGTATGTTCCACATGCTACTGCTGGTGGAGGCTTTTGATATTAAATTATATATACAGAAATTTACAGGATAAATTAAAACCTAAGAAATTTCAGAGTTAAATACACATAAAATATACACTCTCACACACATATATATAACATCTACATGAGAACTGAGTACTCTTTTGCAGTCCACTTACATGTGGAATGTAGAACACTATTCACCCACAAGGGAAACCAGTAAGTTGAAGCCAAGAACCAAGCTGGGCAAAGTATCTTCCATAGCCACCAAGCAATGCAGCAGCAGAGTCTGTGAGGACTTGATGGCCAGTGAATGCTGCCAGTGGAAGGTGCCACCTCTTGTTTTTAGACCAGTGGCCAGCTAAGAATGTATGTGGGCTCAACTGGTGGCACTGAGAGCTTTGCCCTCTCCAAGGTATTTTTCTGCTGTCAGGACTCATATAACTAAGGCTGCTGATGGTACCAATGATTGCAATAAAGTCCGAGACACAGACCTCTGTATTGGAATTGGAATAAATCCCCTACCCAGGCCACCTCTGCCATCTCACCCCCACCCCAGGTCACTCCAAGCTGCAAGGCTCTGTATTTTCAGTCAGCTGGCCTACTCCTATAATCTTTATTACATTTCTGACTGTAAGACAGGTAAGGCAAATGGTCAGTGATGGGTCTGGAGGTACAACCAAGTTTGGAAAAAAGAAAATCACATTTTAGCTATCCATAAGGAGAGACATGTGGCACCCAGAACAAGCCCCCAGCCCCCGAGTGACACTGATTTTTAAGGCAGATTTTTTTTTCACAAAAGAATAAAGAACCCCAAGCCTACCCACATTCATGCCAAAGTTTCCTCTTAGCTAAACTTTTGCCATTTCATAAAATTATTAAAAGCAAAGTAGTTACAGTCCTATGTATATACTGTACATTATATGTATATATGTATGGATATAAAATTCAAAGCCTACTCTCAGATCAGTGAAGGTTCTGGAACAGTCACATATACACAAACCAGAAGAGGGGTAGACCAGGCTTCTGTCCAAGGATTCTTCGTTGTCACAGTCCAGGCATGATGTAAGCAATGTTGTCTAGTGTATTTGACTGCAAAACAAGGAGAGAGTGTTCAACTGAGGGTACTTAATTGTGGCTCCCTGAGATGTGTTTCTTTGTTTAGGGAGAGACAAGAAAGGAGTGAGTTAGAGAAAATAGGATGTCTGCTGTGCCAGGAGCGCCTCTGCTCACCTCCCTTCATTAACCCCGGTAGCAGGCAGGAAGTTCTCCTTGCTACCTATGTGCACAATAGCGTAGAGGGAATGTAGGAGTTAGAGAGTGCCTCTCTCCAGAGGACTATTTTGAAAAATGGCATGTTTTCTAGTTTCACTGAAATAACAGCATGTATTTGATAATACAGTGTCACATTCTGTGGGACAGTATGTAAAGGGAGTGCCACATGCCACCAAAGTTCGGGAGTCTGTGGCTGGCAGTGCTCATTAAGGCAGGGCCTTCTCTGGCTCAAGAATCCTGCCCCTCGCCCCCCTCAACAATCAAGGAAAACAAAACTCACCAAGACCTGTTTGGGACAGCCATTCAGTTCAGGTAATTGTGTGGTCAGACAGGCCAAGGGGCCGAGAGCACAGATAATGGAATCCAGGAGCACTGACAAACTGCCAGATACCGCCACCATGCCCTGCAAGGAGAGCAGAATTGCAGCTGCAGCACTCCTGATGCTTCTGCCTGGTTTCCTCCAGCTTTTAAGATCTTATTCCTTTACATTCTCTCCATAACACACAGTAACAAAGTGCACTGTGGGGAGTCAGCAAAGGATCTGCGGAAGGACGGACCCATGGATGCTGGAATTCACTCACATGCCATCAAGCAAGCTCTCAATAAACACTCTGAATCTTCGTCACTTCTACCCTAGACTGCTGTTGGCCCTTCTCGCCAGTGCGGGTCTCTCTTCACTTACAATCTAAGATAGAAGATGTTCTTGGAGAAAGCCAAGTGAGCATCCTAAGCACATCCACCCTACTCAAAAACAAAAAACCCCACAACCTTCTGTGGATCCAGAACAAGAAACTACAAAGACCCTAGGGTTTGAACAGGCACCTACTGTTTTCTGTCTGGAATGCCCCTCCTGCTTATCTACTTCCTTCCTTTCCACTAGGATTTTGACTTTGGTCTGGATCTCACTTCGTTTGTAGCACATGCTGACCTGAGAATCATGGCAATCCTCCTACCTCAGGCAGGATTCTAGTCATGTACCCCATGCCTTGGGTGACACTGTTTAAACAGTCTTCTAACTGCTTATGGGAGCATAGGGTGGCAGTATGAAAAGGGAGCTAGAAGGCAGGCTACTAATGTGCAATTAGTGATCTAATTTTTGTGATCATTAATTTCATGGGGCTTTAAGTATTCAGTGTATTGGCAAACTGTGAACATTTCTTAAAGTGTGGTATATAATTTCAGATGGACTATCTTGATAATTAAATATCCATTATGATATAGACTAAAAAAATCAGATCATCCTGTGACATCACGGATTTTATAAAAGTAGACAAATTTATCTAAATAAACTACAAATAATAGTCTAAGTGGTTCAAGGAAGTATAGTACTGTGAGGCTGAATGCAAGTGATTAAACTTTGGAAACCCTGAACTAGAGAGGAGTGAGAAATGATTGCTTATGGGTTTGGAATTTCTTTGGGGGGTAATAAGAATGTTCTGGAAACAGTGATGGGCCTAAAATTGTGAGACATTATTAAAAGCCTCTAAATTCTGCACTGTAGAGGGGTGCATTATAATATGCGGCTGTTATATATAAAAAAATAAGTGGATCACAGAATCCCTAAAATTTTTTTTGTTATAGCCATCACCCTTATCTGTAGTTTCCCTTCCAAGATTTACTCACTCAGGTGTTTATTTTATAGTTGTTGTTTGTTTGGGGAGATAGTGCAATGCTATGTAGTGCAGGCTGGCCTCATATTTGTGATCTTCCTGCCTCACCTGCTGGGATTACAGGTGTGCCCACCACTCACAGGCTCAATTGCTAAGTTTTAAATGGCACACTGATTGGAACAGCATGATGAAATCCCTCTCCGCCTATGTGGGCTGTGTGAATCAACTCTTCATGGGCTGGTTAGTCATGGGTGGCCACCATGTTGCCAGATAACTATCATGGCATCACCATTCTCTATACAGGCTTAGGTACCGCCTGTGGTTTCAGGCATCCAACTGGGGGTCTTGAGCCTTGCCTTCCCCGGGCAAGAAATGACTACTGTGGTATGTGTTCAAAACTCACATAGCTACATTCACAAAGGTTGGCTGGCTTCTATTTGTGGGATACTTCAACATTGTGCTTGAAACCATTTTACTTTTACCTGTTTAGGAAATGTAACAATGATTAAATGTGAGTAATGAAGACCAAAGAAACTTTATTCTGGAAATACTTTTACCCATTCAGGTATTTGAGTCTGTGAGAATGCCCAAGTTCTTGGAACATCTGCTAAATTTTTAGAAACCAGCCAAAGAACTCAGATGTAGATTTATCTCTTGTGGCTTATGCCATTTTGCTTGCTGAAAAATTTAGCTTTCACATGAAAGTAAACAAGAAAAAAAAAAAAAAAACCCAAGAGGTGGCATTGACACTGATGTAGAAACTACAAAGAATCAGCAACTATAGAAAAAACAATGAACCACCACAAACTGATGAGCACTTATCAGGAAAAGGATAGATAGACAAAATAACAATAACAACAATTGCTTTCTTGTATCAGCAACAAACCACTGGAATTTGAAATAAAACTCTATTTTAGCTTTATAATAAAAATTTTGGAATAGAAAAAGAATAAATTTACTTTTGAACAAACAGTTGTTACATTATGTTTTGAAAATACTATATATTTTAAAGAAGTTATTTATTATTTGTAT